CATGAGTGCGGAGAATTCTCGCACGTAGTCCCGCACTGATTTTGTCTGGCGGAGCTCCCGTAGTTTTCTCCTTGCATTATATTCAACATTCTCGGGGAAGAACTGCAGGCGTATAGCTGCCTTCAGTTCGGCCCATGTCTCGAGAGCATCTTCACCGGCCTTGATGGCTTCGTACTTCACACGCCACCAGAGTTTAGCATCACCCTGAAGATACATGGCAGCAGTTGCTACCTTCTTAGCTTCCTCCAGATCCCCAACAGCATCGAAATACTGTTCGACGTCAAAGATGAAGTTTTCCACTTCCTTGGCATTCCTAGCTCCACTGTATGGCTTTGGCTCAGGAATTTTCAGCTTCTTTGTCGCGGAAGCGGAGTTCACAGCACCTCCGATTTGGTTTCCACCTCCTCGGAGTAGGCCCTGTAAAGCAGCGTTGACAACATTGAGTTGGTCTGTCAATTTGTCAATGGTTTGTTGCATGGCAGTCACCTTTTCTGCCTCTTGTGCCCTGTGGGCTAAATCCTCGGTGCGCTCCTGTTGGAGCCCCTCGAATTTCTCAAAGATTTCGGCTGCCTCTGTGGCTGCCGTCTGCCGGTCTCCCTCGGAGTCGCGACTGATGTTTTCAACGTCAACTTCGACCTGAAGCACCCTGCGGTCCAGGTCGTCCAACCTTTGCAGTAGGCTGGTTCTTAGTTCAGGCACCGTATCCATAATAGGCCGCAATACCTCAACCGTCCCTTCGAGGGCCGCAATGCGGTCCCCATGATTCACCATGGTCAGAAATGGTGGTATGTCAATACGTTCCCTCGTCCGATGTCGAGCCTAGGCTCTGATACCAACTGTTACGCGGCGCCTTCCTGAGATTCCTTGGAAGGGCGACGTAAGGCTAGGCAACTGATGTCAGTGCAGTTGCTGTCCGCCAACTGAGGTCCCCTCCGTACGCTAGACGAGATTGTCAGTGCCGTACGGGAAAACCAATGTCAAGAGCAATTGAGAGAACAGAAATGAGAATTCAGAATGAAAGAAAGCTTGATTGCATTAATGAAAGCTATTACAGAAAAGCAACGCGGTGTCGAGGGGGAGAGACACCAGTGCAGAGAATTGCTTGCTTGCTAGAAAGTTTTGATTGCTTGATCCCCACTAATAGTACTTAAAAAAAATAATCCAAAGTTACAAGACTAGACTTGACTAAGCTAGAGAAACATAATGGAAGTACATAAAATAAAACTACTCTATATTTACAATGAAAATGACTTAGTTTTCTATAAGGCAGCAGCAGGTCCGTTGTCAGCAGCAGTGTCTTTGGCATCACGGTCTGCGCGCGCGGCGCTGTTGGCTTTTGCCTGCGGCTTGGCGCTCGCGAGGGATATCGGTGGGGCGACAGAGGCACCTGCGCGCTTGTCACTTGGCGCGGCCAAGACCACGGGGCCGTCCGTGGCGCTAGGCATTGGGAGGTTTGCTAGGACGCCACGGGGCGCGCCCAAGGGGTCATGGGGCATGGCTGGAAAGCCGCCCATGACAGATATCATGAGATACGAGTCAGCTAGAACATCTTAGCAACCCAAATATCAGAAGGAAAAAAATATCATAATTTATATAGAATATGAGATTTGTACCCTCCGACAAGTGAATAAATCTAGAAGCATTTTTATTATGGTAATTTAAAATATTTTTCTCTTCAAAGACTACTCTTATCAATATTAACTTTCTGATTTGACACGCAACCGAGTTCCGAATAAATCAGAAAAATGACATTTTGTCTAATAGGAATAATTTGCAGTACTTAATATGACTCTAGCATCGTTCTAAGTTAAGAGTTGTGCCAGAATTCTGACTGATTTTTCCTTTAGTGATGAAAGTTTCTTCTGATCTCAAGTAGTTCCTGGTGTAGCTGGATCTGATAGATGTAGGTAATGTTGAGTCTCATTAAGTTGCTAAATCTGGTCCGTAAAAGATCATCTATCTTGACATGGCAAATCTCCTTTTTTCTAAAAAAGCAGAGAGAAAGATGGAAGTTGCCTACTTTCTGTGGTTATGGACTGAGTCTAGTTTATCATCCCTTGCTTGTTACATACTCTACCTTTTCCTCGACTTTGTGGCTTTCAATGCATATCATCTTTTATCCATGTATGCTTATCACTTTCCCTTGATCATGGCTTCTAGATGCTAAAGTGTTTCAAGGTTGAGAAACTTGTAATATCAGCTATTCCAAGTTTAGTGGAAACATGGACTGCTGGCTTTGGCTTTGAACTCTTGGAAGATAGCGAGAAACAAAGTCTAAGTCATATCAACCTCATGGTGTTCCCAGGAACTGTATGGTTGAAGAAGTCTTTGTTTCAAGCTGCTGAGGCAGATCAACTGAGTGGTGAGTGCTTAGTGTTTATTGTTCTTCAATTTCAGAGAAATCTTCTCTTTTTTAAACACAACAATCTGGTGAGATGCTAAAAACTGGACCTGATATGTTTCATACTTGAAAGCAGTTCATCCGGGAGAAACAGCATCCTGCCACGAAAATGGCCTCACCATTATTGAGCCGATTCAACATCATTTGCCATCTCAAGATGCCAATGCAGGAGCTGATGTCAGACACCTACCTCAGTCTGAGAGTTTGCAATTCAATGAAGATCAAGGTGGTAATAATCTTGATGGTCAATTTTCCATGACTTCCCATGAGGAATCAGCTGTATGGTTTATGGAAAACAAGATTCTCGATATAGAAACTCATGAGCCTGGGCAAGGTTGTGAAGGAAATATCTCTCATAAATATTTAGAGCCTGAAACTGAAATCAGGAAGTCGGACTCTAATAAATTACAACTAGAGGAAGTCCCAGATGTTCATGCTCTGCGTGGTGAATGCTCAAAACTCTCTCAGGAATTATCGGTCGTGACGTTTAGCAGCCACCGGGAAGTAGGTTGTAGAGTAGATACTTTGCAGATACATGAGGAAAGACAATTTTGTTTAGATGAAGTGTCACAGAGAATTAATGTATTCCAAGGGAACGGGAAATGACATTGATTATTTTTTAGTTCTTGTGCATAATGCTAGTGGACTTTGTCAAAGGGAAAATGAGAACTACTATGAGGGTAAAGAATAATTCAAGACCGATGAACAAAACTTGAAGAGAAAAAGCAGAAATAGCCCCCAAAAAGAATCAGCTAGCAATCCCTAGACGCATTGGAGACTAGTTTAACTTATAGAATACTCCATCACGCTATTCCTAGTAATCTACTGTTTATGATAATATTATTTTCTCATTCTCTAATTATCAATTTTAACAAAACATAATAATTATCTTCGTCTAAAATGAGAAGGTTGACTAATAAGCTCTATAAAAAGGTTAACCTCACTCACTAATAAGCATTGCGTTTAGAATTTTACCCTGCATCACCAAGTGTACGGTTTCCCCTCAACCACCTCTCTGTTAGTTGTAGTATTATTTTGGGCAAATATCACTTATTTACCTTCGGTAGTTGAAAAAATATATAAATTTAGTATAATTTTTATACGTAATATATATAAATATATATATATATATATATATATATATATATATATATATATATATATATATATCAAAAAAATATAAAAAATATATTTTTTGGCTATTATTTTGTGAGTGACTATACATTCTTTCTTCAAAGCCTATCAAGTTTACAACTTCACTATCACTAGAATTGTATGTTCTCATCTCACCAAATATATCTCTTCTCTCTCTTCTTTTCTCACTTTTCTCTAGCCTACTCTCATTCATTACGAAAGGTGAAACAAAATGAAAGAAACAAATAAATGAATAATGTTACATAAATTTTTGTGTCTCAAAATGTAAAAGAGGTTAGGAAACTAAAATATATACCAATTCGAAGAAGGAAAAGAAGGAAGAAAGAGAAAGACGACCCAACATAGGCAGAACAACAAACAGAAGAGAGGTTTTAATATAACTTCCAAAATGAGAGCTTACCTCAACTCCCAACACCAATTTTGAAACGTAAAGTTTGCTCTTCTTCCCTCTTCTCCCCCCTAAACCCCCCCACCCACTGAATCTTGAACTTTTCAATCTCTGTAATCCATTGTCCCATTAAGCTTCTTACTAATTCACACATCAGTACCCAACACTTTAAAAAACTCATAAAATCTCACAAATCACCATTTTCTTCAACTTCCAAATCCCAAAAAAGACAAAAAAAAAAAAAAAAACTTTTCTCTTTCAATGCCTTCATCTCCTAAGTCATTCAATGCTTGGCCATCGTCCTCCCCCCTTAACTCCCGCAGATCGACGGTTGTGATTCTTTGTTCTCTTATCGGTCTAGCTGGGTTTGTATTCGGTTTCATTGCAATTTCGAGGCAAAGTTTGGGGCACAAATGTAAATATGCTGAACCTCGATCTGTTTCTGTTGTGTGGGATAAAAGTTCTAGTAAAGCTAGTGGAGCTACGGGGAAAGATACGGGGCTTTTAGATGAAGGGCAAAAGAGGCATAAAGTTATGGGCTTTGTTGGGATCCAAACCGGGTTCGGATCCACTGGCCGTCGCCGGTCTTTGCGGCAGACTTGGTTCCCCTCTGATCATCAAGGCCTTCAAAGGTATTACCTTTTGTTTTGTTGTAAATTGTAATGAATGTAATTAAATTAACATTTTCTTGTTTATTGCTCTGCTGTTACTTTCCATAAAACCTCGTGGAAGACTTAGCTAAGAAAATGACTCAATGGAAGCACTAGGTAAATTTGTTAGAATAAGTGTGCGATTTACAGACTGTTTAGTATTCAAATGAATTGACAAGAATAGAGCACAATGAATTTACTATATAAGTTGTTCGTTTGATCATCAAAATGAAAATCTAGTTTAAATGGCTTTAATAGAGCAGAATGAATTTACTTTCTGCGTAGCACTACTCTTTTAAGCACTGTGATATTATCAGCTTGTGTCATGAAATTTGACTAGCAAGAACTTATGAGGAACAAAGCGATGTGTTTGACATGCATTTACATAAATTATCTTAATTTAGCATGTTCAAATAGACCTATTCATAGAACAACATTATCTTGGTATTGTTGAATTGAATTGGAAGTTTCTGGCCTTCTTTATCCAAAAGGTGAGGCATTTTCTGTTCCTTTTGCAAAAAGCTGTTTTCCATTTTCACTAAGAGCTCAGAGTGAGATGTTTCACTAATGAACTCTATGCAATTCCCTTATTCATTATGTGTATATGAAGTTGTATTGCCTGGTCTCTATGCATTTATGAAACTATTCTTTGCTAAACGGACTGAAATGGAATTGCAGGTTAGAAGAGGCCACTGGCTTGGCTTTTAGATTTATAATTGGTAGAACAAGTGATAAATCCAAAATGGCAGAGCTTAAGAAAGAGATAGCGGAATATGACGATTTTTTACTATTAGACATTGAAGAGGAGTACAGTAAGCTTCCATACAAAACGTTAGTTCTGGCTCTCTTATATATTCACATCCCTCTTTTTTGTCATCTATACTTACTCAAGTTGTTCTTACAGCATAGCTTTTTTCAAAGCTGCCTATGCGCTTTATGATTCTGAGTTTTATGTTAAAGCTGATGACGACATATATTTGCGGCCAGGTGACTAGAAATTTGAAGCTTTTTCTATTATTACTGTTCTTTACTTGAGGTTCATACTATGCATTTACCTTGTTCTATAATTTTGATGTACTCAAGTTGCTTTAATTTTCCATTACAGATCGCCTTTCACTTCTTTTGGTCAAAGAGCGTTCTCACTCACAAACATACCTTGGATGCATGAAAAAGGGCCCAGTTTTCACTGACCCCAAGCTCAAATGGTGAGTCTAATAAGTTTCCTGGATGCTGATATATTCCCAGCATGACTTTATCTAATTCATTTGCTCTATATACGTGGAAGCTTTTTCTCTCCATTCCATCTTGAATTGCTTTGTACTATTTTGGAGGACTAATACGATCAGAGTTTGGATATATTTTGGTTGATACAAGTAATTATTACAATATAAATTTAAGCTATATTGCTCGGACTCGGGTGCGGGTACCGGATCGGGGTGCGGATCTAGAGGTTCGATCCTTCATAATCTAAATTTTAGGATTCGGGGGTATGGATCAAGGTACGGATACGGGTGCAGGGATTCGGTTAAAAATAGATCTATAAAAATATCTGAAGGTATGAGAGATATTTTGTATCGCAAAACAATCTCTCTACCTTCACAAGGTAAGGGTAAAGTCTGCATGCACATTACCCTTCCTAGACCCCACTTGTGAGACCGCATTGGATATGTTGTTATTATGAGAGAAGACAGAGACTTAGTTGATACAAACCTATGAATAGGAAAACGAAGACGGGTGGATCTATGTACCTCGAGAATAGAAGCTAGAGAACCTAAGTCCGAAGAAGAGTCTTGGTTCGAAGTATAGGGAGATATTCTGTGAAAAACTTATAGGTAATGGAGTGCAGCCACTAATTCAATCTTTCATTTAGGGGGTGCGATGGCTAAAATGAAGAGTCCGTGCAACATAGAATTTAAGTGGCCGGCCAAGTTACTACACAAACTCACCTTTCTTAGGGTTACAACTTGACTCTTAAATAGGCCATGGTAGCGAATCCGAAAGATTGGAATAAACACTTGCCTAAAAACAGAGAACTATATAAATGGTTAAGGAGATGAAGATGAACTAAGCACGCTAATATCAGTCTTGTTTAAACTTAGGACGCCTAGGATGCAAACTGCGCCTGGCTTAGGCTGTGATTAAGTGTAGACACACAAGAGCTACGGCAAGCACCTCATCACCCAGGGGCTCTATCTTGAAAAGGATGCTAAACAAGCAAAGTGTCATATTAATCGTTAAGAAGCCATTGTAAATGAATTTGCTACTAACTAAAGATAGGAAATTAGAAATTTAATACAAGAAACTAGCTGCTAAATCAACTGGTATTTTGCACCCGGAGGTGTGGCCTAGTTGTTAATGAAGTGGGTTGAAAATTACGAGGTCTCAGGTTCAAATCCTAGTGGAAGCCAAAATAACTATGTGACTTCTTCCAATCTATCCAAGCCTTGGTGGACAAAGTTACCCGGTACCTGTGCTGGTGGGAGGTAGCAGGTACTTGTGAAATTAGTCGAGGTGCACGCAAGCTGGTCAGGGCGCCACGATTATCAAAAAAGAAAAATCAAATGGTTTTCTATTGACTTAGCAGTTTTTGTTCCTGTTCAAAAAAAGAAAACTAGTTACTGAATCTGAATTAGAAATTTACAGCTTTCTTTGCTGTTTTATTTAGAAATTTGAAATGGTATTTTTAACTTGATTATTATGATATTTATTTCAGATATTTCACTTAACTGTTGTTCTTCTAATTCTCATATAATTATTGTTTTTGTACTTATTTTTTCTTATATTACTTAGAAAAAAACTTTTTTTTTCCTTGTATTTTTTCAAAAAAGAAAAAATATATGTTTCTTCATTTGATTTTCTTCGTTAAAGTCGGTGTATTAATTGTGCTTAAAGCCCCAACAGGTCTTGGTGCTTTTTAACGCTTTCTTAACTTAGAGGCTAATATAAGGCTCCGAAAGAAAAAGCTAACTTGATTTTGAGAGTCTAAAATTAAAACCATTAGTGCTTACTTAAGTATTTGGTGGACTGCCTGAAAATCCAGTGGGTCTTCTTTGTATATGTTGATATTGAATCCTGCTCTTTCTTTTGATCTCTTTTGATCTCTGTTGAGAAGAGCCTTCCTTTTATCCCTACCCAAATCTCCCTGCAGATACTCATTTTATAAGAAGGATCAACAACAACAACAACAACAAACACAACAAACCCAGTTTTATCCTAACAAGTGGGGTCTGGGGAGGGTAGTTTGTACGCAGACCTTACCCCTACCTAATGCAGGTAGAGAGGCTGTTTCCAATAGATAAGAAGGATCAAGACTATTTAAATTTAAGTTTTTTTCGAGTTGTATCTGACAAACAAATTGCACTGATAATGATGTAGCTAACAAATGCCTAACTGCACTTGTGCCTTCCAGTTCCCAGTATACTTCTAGGAATTCTCTCCTCTTTTTTCTACAAGTAAATGACTT